AAAAATTCACTCACACCTTAATCCGTTCAATATTTATAAGACTTTCTCTCTTTTTAACTCCAAAACAAAAATATACCCCCAACCTACCTCGTTTACTGTTCGCGCGGTAGGGAGGTGGGGGTGGGGAGGGATCGTTTCTGAACCTTTTGAAAGAAAAAGACATCAGTTCGGATACTGAAACATGAAAAAGTTGTACATGTTGTTTACTTACAAATTCTAGCGGGGTTTTAAGTCGTAGGCCCGTCAAGACCACGGGAGCCTTTCGGGTCTGCCCTCCGCTCACAACGCCAGGTTGCACTCTCGCTGCCGCGCGGCCGAACGTCGTGCTCGTCCTCGCCCACGTGACGACAACCTCCGCCGGAAGGCGCCCGCGGAATGCTGGGATTTGTAGTCCTCGTGCCCCGCCTCCTCCCTTTTCCTCCTGCAACTCTACACCGTTCGTCCTCCACGGCCAGGACGTCTGCCCGAGGGGCGCGGCGAGGGACGCGTCACGGAAACGCGGAGGTCTCCGAGTTCTCATGGGGACATCTGACAGGCCTGCAGGCATCTCCGCAAGACGTCTGATCACCCTGACCCTTATAATGACCTGACATTCACAGACTGGAAAGAATCTATAGGACCAACACAGTGAGAGGCAGTACTGAATGATGACGGGAAACACCAGCACTCGGAACCCAGCCTCTCCCATTACCGGGAACATGTTCTCAAACGAGCTGCTTAATCTAAACCTCAGTTTGCTCATGTGTCAAATGGGGACAAGGTTACTTACTTCATAAGGCTGTAAGTGAATGAGATAACATACGTTGCGCGTGTCTGCTAATAACAGTAAATGAATAAAAATAGCTATTGTTTTGACCGATCAATTTTATAAATGTGAAAATCTAGAGATGGTAAGCAATTTACCCAAAAACATATAACTGGTTAGGGGCAAAGTCAAGTAAGTCTAAAATTCCTGTTCCTGACCCACCAATTAACATAGAAGAAATCTACCCATGTAAATCTCCCTTCCCCATTCCTCATTTTTTTCCATAACACTTTTGACCAACACCCTACTTTGCTTTTTGTCTGACTCCTCTCGCAGACTAGAAACTCCAAGAAGGCAGGATGGTTTTTTTGTCTTTTAGTCTATTTTGTTCACTGCTTTATCCCAAGCACAGAGAAACAGGGACTGCCTACAACATAATAGTAGCTCAAATATTTACTAAACTAACCATGCAACATGATTTTGGGTGCTTTTACCTCTCAATCATCCTCTTTTGGCAGAAGTCACAGGATTTGGGAACACTTAGATGCTGTTCAATAATTGACTGCAATTTCTGATTCAACAAAGAATAATGGAAGAATCCTATATTCTACTCACTTTAGTTTTCTTAATTTCAGAATAAGATTTCCAGCAAGACATTTTCATTTGTATTAATTCTTTAAAATATCTTTTCTATATCTTGTGAGAATAGAGAATAAATGGAGCCAACTATGTCTTTAACTTACGTAATATTTTAATCCTTTCCTTATCAAAATTAACAACGTTGCCCCTTTCTGTTAATACAACTAAACTACAACCCCAAAGATATTTACTTCCCTATCCAACCAGAAATGTGATTATGCACAATGAACTGATAGAGGCTTTCTCTTTAAATAACTGGATTTCTGCTTACCCTAAACAAAAAAACTCCTGTACAAAAATTTATTATTTTAAAATAAGTTTTATTTAAAATAGCTGATTTAGAAACCCACTCTCAAGAGCACAGGTTTCTTAGACCAAGCCCTAATAGCTAAGTATGTAAATTAAATATCAGTCATTTAATCTGAATTCTAACTTTTTGTGTATCCATCTTTCCTAACAAATGGAAAATTCTGTAAAGGTAAAGCTACCTTCATCTTTGTTGGCATATAATACATGTGATGCAGGGCAAGGAACCCTCCTTCGGGGGGCACCCCCAACATGGAAATAAAAGAAAATCTTGCAGGGAAGTTCCTGGCATCTGGCCAGTCTTGAAAAGTGAAGGGCAGCTGGCCAGAGTGCAGAGTGGTGTTTACAACTAATCACAACCAGTTACAAATTCTTTTGTTCCTCTTCACCCCCACCGCTTTCACTTGACTAACCTTAAAAAAAAAAAAAAAAAAAAAGTGAACAGGCAAACTGATGAGAACAATGGCCCACCAAAAGAGCCAAAATCATCAAAATCATGAGGTGTTTTGTTTCCCTATGGAAACCAAAATATGACAACTTTTTTTTTTTTTTGAGTCAGAGTCTCATTTTGTTACCCTGGCTAGAGCATGATCATAACTCACAGCAACCTCAATCCTGGGCTCACGCAACCCTGCCTCAGCCTCCCAAGTAGCAGGAACTACAGGTGCACACCACCATGCCCAGCTAATTTTTTCTATTTTTAGCAGAGACGGGTCTCCCTTTAGTTCTGGCTAGTCTCGAACTCCTGACCTCAAGCAATCCTCCTGGAGTGCTAGGATTACAGGGGTGAGCCGCCACCACACCCGCTGTAGGTTCCTGAGTTGTTTTCCAGAAACCCCTACCAGATGGAAAATGCAGATAAGGAGGAACTGAGGGACTGAACTCTGACTCCCATTCTTTGTTCTAAATTTCCTGGAGGCACTGTCACACCCATCTTAACATCTCACTAGTCCAGGAATCTCTGAATCCACCTATTCCCACCCCCGCCCCACCCCTGCTTCAGAATATCCCACCCTTTGGGGCCAGGCCAATGTATAATTTCCATGTATTGATTTACAACTCTGCCTGCCTGAAATGGACCCTTGCCTCTAAAAACCCTGGCTTATAAACCATGGGGGAGTCCTGGTCTTAAACATTAGCTACTACTCGGTCTCCTTGCATGGTGCCCTGCAACTCTTGTCTTCAGTGCCTGGCTTCACTGTGCCCAGTGAGCGAGGGACTCCAGTTTGGTTTGGTAAAAAGACGATTAACAAATACATGAATTAATGAGTGTTTTATTACTATAATTTCTTCTCTTACCTGTCTTCTCTTTTGATTCACTGAATTCCTCCATATTTCTCAAATTTCCAAAGTAACTGTCTAACATCCAGAACTCAGGCATTCTTTCCTCTTGGTATTAGTGACCCAGCAAATCCCTTATATTTGCTATGAGTCTCCCGTCACTGTAATGACACCTCTTTTGGGTCACCCTTGTAGTTTGGAAAACATCTACAGCAGAATATCTGGTTTGACAAGAGTTTACGTTTGCCTCACAGTCAGCAATGAATATTTGGTATTTGCAAGGTTGCTGGGTGTGGGAGGCAGTCCTGGTAGCGCTAGGATATGTAATGTTATGCCCTAGACAAGAAAAGGAAAATCCCGAGCAAATGTATGTGTTAGCGTTAAAGTTACCATGCCTCTGATTGAGTCTCATTATTCATTTCTATGAAAAGTCGTAACTACGGCTTTATAAGCATTTTAATAACAAAACAACACATATGCTGATTATTCAATACGTAGAACCTTTCACCTTTTTCTTTTTTAATATGTCCCTCAAACCTGTTTTATTAATACAAGCCTGTATCCAAGTTTTACAAGCCAGTATCCAAGTTTCTACATAATCACCTGTCCTGGTAAATGTGTTAAAGAGGTTCTTAATATGTGCATTAATGTTCATAATATGAACTTAGTCTATTAATAAACAAACAAAACCCAAAACCATAAAATTTATATTTAATAATTATACCTATTAAGAAACTTTTACTATTATGTTATTAATGAGTAATGTAATAGCCACCTTACAGGGAAAGCATTACTTAAAACATAAATAAATAAAAACCAGGTCTTACCAAGTACTTTCCAGCATTTTGTCAAAAAAGAGTAAGTTTCACAAATTTTTTTGCCCCCCGAACCCCCCACAAATTTTCCAAATATACCATCTGGCCAAGGCTGACAAGAGGGAGTATCCTTTTTCATCTCTTCTTGTAAAAGACTGAAAAAAAAAAAAAAATTAGCAGTAGCAGCATCTCTTGTTACTGCTCCTCCAGGTTTTGGGTTTTGTTTGTTTTGCTGTATCATAAACGAAGCTAAACTAAACTCTTAACAGGCCAAAATCTGACTCTAAAGCATGTAATTTCTTGTATTTGTGGCCAAATTTATGAACTATTAGTGAAAACATAGTACACCTTAAAACTTTTAAGACTTAAGAAATTCATCCCAGGTTTGAGCAACAAATGAGTTGCTCAAAAACATTCTGAAGTGATTATTTGGACTAATGAACAAACATTTTCAAATTTTTCAGAATCATTCATTGTAACTGGTATCCGAGTTACAATTCTTTAAATCTATTCACTGAACTCAATCGATGAAAGTCCTCCAAGAAGACAAGTTGTATATCTGAAGGTAACATTAAGCCTTCTTTCAATAATTGTTTAGACTTTACACTAACTTAATCGGCCTTCTCTGAGCTTGTCTAGATTTGGTTAGACATTTGCAGATTATCTGCAACTATACAGAGTTGAAAAAAAAAAAAGCTTTTATCATGGTTTCTGATTCCGTAAACTAGAGCAGGAACCTTAAATTAAAATGTAGTATATCAAGTCATACCCAGAATCAAAGTAAAAATAGTGGCTCACAAGTTAAAATTACAATGCTGCCTTTAATCAAGATATTTCTTCCTTTATCAGTGTCCATAACGCAGCATTAATACGGTGTTCTGGACCAGGAAACAGGAAAGACCGGGAATACGGTTCAGTTGGCTATGGGTACGTTTTGCAAATGGAAATTCATCCAACGAGCGCGACAGTAGATACAATTTTGTACACCTGCAACAAGTGATTCACAATTTAAAACTGGGTAATCGCCTTCCTAAGGCGCTTGAAACTAGAATTTTTGCACGAAAAGATAACGTGCAAAAGTTATCTCTCTAACCATCGCTCGGGCTAGGTTCCAGGAAAACTGCGCAACAGCCTGGGGCCGAGAATTGAAACTCGGTCTTCTCCACCCTCGTCTCCCTCGTTCTTCCCCGGAGACTCGATACCGGGGGCCAGGACGGGCGTCTGCCGCTGCGGGCAGCACTCGTCGCCAGCGGCTGGACTTAGGACAGGGAATTCGCCCTGCCAACCTTCCGTCGCCCCCGCCCTCCCGCCGTCCCTCAAGGCCGAGGGCAGACACGTCCTCCTCCCCCTTCTCCTCCTCTTTGGAGCCTCCAGCCAGGAGGCGGGAGTGACCCACAGCAGCTGACCCAGCGCAGGCACTGCCTCCCCACAGCCCTCCAGACACACCATGGGCCCAGAGGCGGGTTTGGTGCACAGCAGCGACGACGCAGGCGGCGGCCCCGGCGACTCTCAACTGCCTCCCTGACCACCGTGACCACCGCCCAACACCCCCGAGGAGCCATCGTCACCACCATCTGGACAGCACAGGGGCCACAAAGCCATCTTTACGGCCGACTCCAGCTACGTCAACAACAATGGCGGGCGAGGGGCGGCGGGCGGAGCCGGTGTGGCAAGGATGGGGTGTGTACGTCACGCCCAGGGCCCCCCTCCGAGAGGGAAGGCCCCGGCTCGCCCCTCAAAATGGCGGCGGCAGTGGCGCGCCTGCGTACGGAAGTGCGTCGCGCCAGGGCCGGCGGGAAGTGAGGTTCTCCGAAGAGCCGCCAGAAGTGTACGGCGATTTCGAGCCCCGGGTGACCCAAGAAAGGTCCCCGGGAGGAAAACGAACCTCGCTAGAAGTGTTCCGGCCCGATTCTGCGAAAGAGGAAGTGAGAGGAAGCGCCTACTACCTTCGGTCTAGGCAGCGGAGACAGCCGCGACCCCAGGAGGCCGAGGAGATGAAGACTCGAAGGGCTGCCCGACTGCAGCCGCAGGACTCACAGCAGCCTCCGCTGCAGACGTCTCCGGTTACGACCAGGAGAGGGCTGCGGGACTCTCCTTCCTCTGAAGGTAGGCAGGGCTAAGTCTCAGCCGCCAGACGGGGAACGCGTGCCGCCGGCGTGCGCCGCCGCGGAGCTCATGCCCTCCCGGGTGTGAGTCCTCCGCGGTCCCCGCTGGACGTGCGCCCCCGCGCGGGGCCCGCCCAGACCCGCAGGCGGGCAGGGGGCGCCCGGGGCAGAGTAGCAAGATGGTGGTGCGAAGCCACCCGGGCAGAGCCGGGGCGCTTGGCCCATTCTTGGGCGTCAGTTTAGGGGAGTCAGGGTTGCCTCCTCCTGCAGGCTTTCGCGAGGGGACGGCCGGTGCCTCCGGGTTCAGTTTCATTTCGGACCCCTCTGTCTTGCGGATGTTTCTTTCTACGGAAGCCGCTTCCATTTCCTCTAAAGCTCAGAGGCCAGAAGTCCCCAGCTGGAGATGATGGCTCTAACCTAACCTTCCAGTCTTTTTCCGTCCCCACCCAGGTGGGGAGAGGGGAAGGGGAGATTTTTTGTGAGTGGGCATGTCGAGGGATAGCGGAATTGGCGCGAGACCCCACCCAGATACCCGAGTCGGAATGGGGTAACTCAGGTATCCTGAGCCGAAGCGCCTCAGTGTCTGATGAACCTGAGCTGATCGCTCTTGCTCCAGTGTGTTGGTCCCTACCAAAAATTCGCCACTCTGGTGGCCCTCACTGCAGCCTGACAAAAAAGGACTCTTAACTAGTTAGCAAGTTTTCATCTAGATGGGCCAAAAGGATGCTGACAAAATGAGCATATAGTGGTAGGTGAGTCATAGGCGAATCAGTTTTCTTAACCTGTCCTCTCCTACCCTGACCCCGCCCTGGGACCTAACGCTAAGTCACAGATGAAGTTTCATGTTAGTCCCGTGGGAGGCACTTAGGAGGTAGAAGGGGATTTGGGTCACAGTGGGATGACGTAGTGGTAGACCATTGATGGGTATGAAGAGGAGTGGATTTTCATCTGAGCACAGCGATAGGCTGCAAGTTCACCTGCTGGTTCTGACACATTTGAAGACTTGATTTTGGAAACTTGTTGTTAATGAAAGCTACTTTTGGGTGTCATAACTCAAGACAGTTTAGCCCATGTGTATGTTAGTTTTATTTCTTTTAAGATTATAAACTTTTTGAAGACAAGGATCTTATCATACGTATTTGATAATAACTTACGTACTTGTGTTAATTCTGTATTTCTTTGAGTACCTGGGAGAATGCTTTGCACAGGGTAGGCGGTGAACAGGTTACATTGTATTGATTTTCACAGATCCTCGTGCAGTTATATAGGCTTTTTTTAAAAGAGGAAGGAATTTGCTTCTGTTTTAGTAAGTCTTTAAGGATATAAACATTTTTCACTCTTCTGCTTTTTACCACATCGTTTGTGAAACCCTACCCCATCTTTTTAATTTTCTAAAGTAATATATTTTTATTGCAAAGCAATAATGGTGAATAGTTTATTTTTACATCCTGACGAATTAGTTATGTTCTGTCTTAAGAGGATTTCTGACTAGTTTAATTCTTAAATTTTGGTAAACGCAACTACATGTTTCTGAAGAAATGAATTACTTGCATTTTTGCTTATATATTGCTGTAAATATGAATAATCTGTACCATTATCTCCTGGGTCATATATTCTGAATTTTAACTCTTTTCACATCTGTTCTTTAGAGGATGAACCATCTTCCCAAACTGTTTTAAGCCAAACAGTCTCAAAGAAAACTTTCAGGAGAACACAAGAGGCTCCAGGTAAGAATAGTTAATTTTGTTTTTCTCTTTACCTGCCAACTTCTTTTATGTTCGTTGAATTAGGCAATACAGGTAGGTGTCAAGAAAAGACAGGGCAAACACTTGAGTACGTGCTTACAGTACCAGTCACTTTGTATATGTTAATCCATGTAGCCTTGCAAGGTTAGATATTATACCCATTTCATAGATGAGAAAACTAGAGTTCAGGGAAGCCGAGACTCCTCTCTAAGATCAAACATGTGATGGAGCCAACATTCAGACCCAGATTTGTCTTCTCTAAAGCCCTTTTATTTTCCTCCAAGTGCCTCACTATCACTCTCCCATGTAATAACTACCTATGCAGTAAAGTTTGTTAAATGTCAAATGAATGACTATCTTACTGCCCTCTACTTAAAATGGATTAAGTTTTCTGCATAGCAAAATCTTGACACAATATGATTGATCTTGTGAGTTTAACAACATGTCTTCTCAAATCTAAGAGGCCATCAGTTGTAAGATACACATCATTGTTTTATGTACCATCTGGAAGGAAAGCTGCTAATTTTTTGGTGATTCGTGATAATATGCCACAGATTATATGCTGCATTCCCAATTTCAGAGATGTTAAAGTATAAAAAAAAAAATTGTCTTAGAATCAATGTAACATGAAAGTAGGCTACATTTAATAGTTTACTTAAGTTTTAAAAACTGTTTAAAATATTTTGAAAAGCCGGGGAGATTATTAAATTCAGTTAAGTTATTAATGCTTTGGCTTTTAGTTCCATTTACTTTCAACTTTCTTTTTTGATATTAGGAAAGTCACACAGTAATAAATCACCATAGCTATTGAAACTGATCACCCCTGGTTTTTATTACCTAGATCCTGACTTATTTATCTATTGCTTTTAATAAGATTATGCTTTATAATTTGTACTATGCTATTCTCAATTTAAAATTAAGCATTTCTGGTTCAAGTTCAGTTTCAAATAAACACACCTTTATGCTTAATTCTTTGAATAGCTGATGTTACTAGGTTAAGATTATAAACTATCTGAGAAAAACACTTTGAGTAATGATGCTATAATCAGATTTTTCAGGCCATTTGAAAAAAAAACTATAATCTTGAATTTATTTACAATAGATTTAATTGTATGTGTCTTATACCTGAAAAAGCAAAAATATGTCAATTTTAAAATTTAAACTCATAAAAGATTTACCTATGAAGTTAAGTAAATTGGTATAATAAAGGCTGTTGAGTACCAGCTTATAGACTTATTATAAAACTGTTATAGAATGAACAGTCTTTTTGGAATTTATATTAGGCTCATATTTAAGAACTGCTAACAGGTACATGGCTGCATAATGTTGTGGAAAGAACACTGGACTTTGGTGAAGTTACCCACCTACCTTGATCCTTAGGCCTTTATCTATATTATTTGCCCTACATAACTCACAGGGCCACTGGAGGAATGAGATAGTGTATATGAAATCACTTTATACCCTGTAGAACACACAGGTAATGTTCCCCGCCCTCCCTGCTGCCCCCAGGCCCAGGGAACTTTACAAGAGATATGAAGTACGTAAAATGTTGCTTAAGCATGTCCTTTTTCTCAAGAAGGTTATACTGTAACTGGATATTTTAAAGAAAACATTTCCCAGTATAGTTGACATATTGAATGGAACCCATACGTAGATTACTTGGAACGTATTGATAGCACACTGTATACTCAGCATAACTAGAAATAAGAGTATGTCCATCTTTGGGAGATTTGAGACACTCAGGGTCCTCTTCCTCTAAAAGGTGCTTTTAAAAAATCATATCACATCTGATAGTTGGCATATTCCCTTCCCACGCCTCTTAATGAAAGGAGAAGGAGTTTGGAATTATTAAATAAATGCTTGTAAAGTCTAAGGGGAATTATTTAAATAGAAGTCCCTCTGTGTTGGAGTACTGCTTTAAGTATAAGTTTAAGGGTAGGCCCTTCCTCCTCATAGACAGGCTTTTAGTTTAACTTTGGTATTCAAAATAGTGCTGTAATTTTTTTTTTTTTTGAGACAGGGTCTCACTCTGTTGCCCAGGCTAGAGTACAGTGGTGTCGTCATAGTTCACTGCAACCTCAAACTGCCAGGCTCAAGCACATCCTCCTGCCTCAGCCTGCTGAGTAGCTGGGACTACAGGCACATGCCACCATGCCCAGCTAATTTTTCTGTTTTTTTTTTTGTTGTTGTTGAGACGGAGTCTCATTATGTTGCTAAGGCTGGTCTTGAACTCCTGGACTCAAGCAGTCAATCCTCCTGCCTCAGCCTCACAAAGTGCTAGGGTTACAGGTGTGAGCCACCATACCTGGCTGGTGCTGTAATTGTATATAAGGCCACTGGTGTGGTTTGAGAGAAATTTATGCAAAGATGTACTTAAGAACAAAGACCTAAACCAAGCAACTGTCTTCTAGAACAACCTAGTAAAAACATCTACATGATTTGTCATCCTGTTTTTGGAAGACTTGAAAAATGTTAATTATATTAGTTTTAGAATAGGGATATGATTTGAAATCTTCTCGTCATTTGAAATTCTAGAATTGAATTGTCTTCACATTTAAATGGCCATTAGGTTGTTTAATCAATTCAGTTCATATATACCTACATAAATGTTATTCCTCTATGGCCAGATTCATTCCTTTCTGGAAATCATGAAACTAATTTTATAGTCTAGAAAATATACTATTACCCATTTCATTTAATGTCCTAAAGTTAAGTAGGTATTTTTATTCTACCAGTTGTGGTTTCTAGCTAAGTAATCAAGGATAAATATTTTTAAATGCCTGCCGTTTTGTCATGAATATTCGATTCTTTAGCTGCTGTAGTTACAGCATTCGTTCATTGTCCGCATATTTATTGGGCACCTCGTGCCAGTCTCTGTGCTTGATGCTGAGGTGCAGTGCTGCGCGAAAGCAGACAAGTGAGGGAGGTTCCGACTGAAGAAGGGTACTTGATGCTGGGCACAGTGGCTCGTGCTGTAATCGCGGCACTTTGGGAGGCTGAGGCAGGAGGATTGCTTGAAGCCAGGAGTTTGAGACCAGCCTGGGCAACACAATGAGGGACACTCCACCCACCCAGCCCCCTAGTCTCTACAAAAAATAAAAAAAAAATTAGCTGGGATGGTGGTGCACGCTTGTAGTCCTAGGTACTCAGGAGGCTGAGATTGAAGGATTGCTTGAGCCTGGGAATTCAAGGTTGCAGTGGGCTATCATCATGCCACTGCACACCAGCCTGGTCAGCAAAGCGAGAGCCTGTGTCTTTTAAGTACTTTACGTAGGTCTATGTATACAGTAGAGCTTACAGGAAATGCTTCTCTTTTTTTTTTTTGAGACAGAGTCTCACTCTGTTGTCAGGGCCGGAGTGCCATGGCATCAGCCTAGCTCACAGCAACCTCAAACGACAGGGCTCAAGCAATCCTCCTGCCTCAGCCTCCTGAGAAGCTGGGACTACAGGCATGTGCCCCCACATCTGGCTAATTTTTTCTATTTTTAGTAGAGACCGGGTCTTGCTCTTGCTCAGGCTGGTGTCAAACTCCTGAGCTTAAGCAATCCTCCTGCCTCAGCCTCCCAGAGTGCTAGGATTACAGGCACGAGCCACCATACCTGGCCAGGAAATGCTTCTTAAATGAAAAGATGGGGAACTAGTAATTCATGTCTGTAGATTAAGTTTTTAAAAATATAGCTCAATAAAAGCAAACAAACAAAAACCAGATTTTGAGTTTTAGGTTTTAAGTAAATCTGAGAAGAGTGGAAGTACAGAGGAGAAAAAGAGGAAGGTAGTTGTAATACTGGGAGTAACAGAAACTAAAATTTGCCTTTATTATCACGTGTACAAAATTTATTTTTAAAGCTATTTATGTAAGTTCTAAATACCTGACATGTGAAATACTATACTAACAACTGAGATAGATATTACATAGAATCTTAGAGATGGAAGAGTTAAGGAAATCATTAAAGTTTCAGAATGTGGTATTTGCAAGTCATACAGAGCCAAAACATAAAGGTTTTCTATAGAGATGAATGAAACAAAACATAATATCCAAATTTAGATACATATTGGGTTTTAGAATATATTGTGTGAGGCTCTTTGAAAAAACATACCTTTATAATTGGTTTTCTAAGCTAAAATTAACATTTTATTTAATAGAATTGTCTTCTCCACTAACCCTATGCCATTGAACCATAGACTGTCTGAAATGAACCCTGACTAATATTAACATTTTAGTTAAAATTAGGAGTTTGTGTTTCCTCAACATGCACAAGGTTAAATAGTTGGAATGAGCGTATTAACTCTCAGGAAGTTAACCGTAAAATATGCCATAAGTAGTCCACAATGAGGGTAAATCACAAATGGAACAGACAATTGAGTTGGTACTATAGTACAGATTTTTGTTTTTGTTTTTTTTTTTGAGACAGAGTCTGGCTCTGTTGCGCGGGCTAGACTGCTGTGGTATCAGCCCAGCTCACAGCAACCTCAAACTCCTGGGCTCAAGCGATCTTCCTGCCTCAGCCTCCCGGGTAGCTGGAGCTACAGGCATGCGCCACCATGCCCGGCTAATTTTTTCTATATATTTTTAGCTGTCCAATTAATTTCTTTCTATTTTTAGTAGAGACGTGGTCTCACTCTTGCTCAGGCTGGTCTCGAACTCCTGAGCTCAAATGATCCTCTCGCCTTGGCCTCGCGGAGTGTGAGGATTACAGGCGTGAGCCACCGCGCCCGGCCCAGATTTTGGTTCTTAATTGAGCTATTCTGAAGAGGTTTATTTAGTATTTCTTTCCTTGTGTACAAACACGGTCTGCTGAGAAAAATCGAGAATTTCTCCATCGAGACCATAAATTTTATGTGGCAGGAAACGTGCCTCTAGTGCACTATCGTCACTAGTTCACAGGTGGCCTCACTTAGAGAAACTTGTCTCCAGTTCTCCAGCATCGTGAAGAGCTCTGTGAACCTATGTTGAATAAATAAGGGGATCATTGCATAATAAAGCTAGTATGTTTCACATTTTATACTTTTTTTAAATGTTTTTTCTTCCTATATTAGTGGTGAGAGACGATCCTGTAATCAGCCTATGTAGACCCCCTCTGAGAAGCCCAGGATCTGGTAAGAGATTGTTTTGTCTGTTAGCTTACTTTTTTATAAATACAATTTTACTTTTAAAATTATTATTTTAAAAGTGAAGTACATTATTCATATGATTAAAAACTCAAAAGTTACTGTAGATACACACTGAAAAGTCTTCCCGCCCCTTTAACCACCCATTCTCCACCCATTCAGAAGCAACCAGTGTTGTCAGTTTCTGAAGTATTTTTCCAGAGATATTTTTTGGAAATTTAAGGAAAGTCATGTATAAATTATCTTTTCCTCCTTTTTTTTTTTCTTTTTGAGACAGAGTCTCATTCTGTTGCCCCAGGTAGAGTGCAGTGGTGTCATCGTAGCTCACTGCAACCTCAAACTCCTGGACTCAAGTGATCCTCCTGCCTCAGCCTCCCGAGTAGCTGGGACTATAGGTGAACACCGTGACACCGGTTAAGTTTTCCATTTTTAGTGGGAGACAGGGTCTCACTCTTGCTCAGGCTGGTCTCAAACTCCTGAGCTCAAGCGATCCTCCTGCCTTGGCCTCCCAGAGTGCTGGGATTACAGGCGTGAGCCACCGGGCCTGGCTCTTTTCCTTCCTTTTTTAACACAAATTTTGCCTTTTCTTATTTATTTTTACTTAACATATATTGAGAGATCTTTTCATTTCAGTACATAAAGGGCTTCCTAATTTTAAGAGATTGTTTCTTACATGTTGCTCTGGTCTTTTTGTTAGTGTGGTGACTTTAAACCAAGGTCAGGGACTTTTTATTCTCCCAGTGTACTGCTGATAAAAGTTCAAGACTGAGGCTTTGTGGCACAGGGCTGTAAAATTTCCCTGCCTTTCTTTTTGACTAAAACCTTAAAAAGTATTGCCCTTTAATTGATTTCATGACTAGGAAAGAAAACTAGTAAGGTCATTCCAAGCAGTTTGCTTCCACTTCATTTTCAATGTTTATTGGCCCTTAAGGGTGCTCTGTCATTGAAACTAAAAATGAAACTTACTTATTTTTATATTGCGTTTCTATTGCTCCGCAGTCATTCTCTTTAAGGAGGAATTACGTTAATTTATTTTGATAGGTAGTTGATAGTCCTTTTAAGTATTGTAGTGATAAAGACCTGTTAAGGCTCTGAAGATCAGCCTGCGGTACAGAACCGTACGATGCGTTTCCTTTTCAGCTCTCATCATTCTCTTGCTCTCTCTCTTGCAGATCCGGCGTACAAAACAAGTGGAAATACCGAAATGAGTGAATTAGGTTCGTTTATCCCCAATTCTTACAGGTTCCCTTTCAGGGTTCTGATTATCAATAGAATAAAAGAGTACATTTGGTTGCTGGCTTGAAAATATTACTTCGTTTATTATCTCAGCTTGTGGGACACTGTCCCTGTGACCGTGGCCTAGCTTGAATAGCCTTGGTTTTTATTCTGCCTGAAATTATGTCTTATATTATTGTTTCAATTAATATGAGAACATGTACTAACAAATCTACTAAGTTTTTGTTAGTCTTAGTTTGATTCATACTGTTGAGGAAAAAGGAGTTATCAACTTACCAATTAAGGTTTTTCCCTTGATTTAGAAAGTGGATTTGAGATGTTTTTCATAAGTTCAGTATCCCTTGCCAGTTTGTTGAATTGATTTTAATTCAAGTGTTTGCCTTGTTGTAGGACATGAATACTAGTATCTGTGGCTTTAAGTGAACCTACATTGAATGCTGTTGGACTTAGTTTTAATTCTTCTCTAAATTTAAAGATGAGCCAAAAAGAGAGAAGCTTCATTTCTCTTTATAAATAGTTGCAACTTCCTCTATTAAATTCATCTTTCCCTTAAGTTCAGCCTAATTCTTTGGAGACCTCAGGATTTATAGTGCTCGGGTACTAAAAATGATCTTTGTAGTATGCACCTTTTTGTGTATAATGCTTTTTACATGCCAGAATTTCTTTTAAAAAAATTTTTTTAAGCCATAGGCTCTTAATTGGAAGAGAACTTGGAGCTGAAATAATCTAAGACTATTACTTTGTATACTAGATTTAGAAATCATTTTTATAAGAACTTTATGAGAAAAACTAAATTTTTAAAAACCATTTGCCATTTTCAAGTAATTTTCTGTGGGTTTAATACAGAGAATAGCACTCTCTGATTCCCTTTGTAGTAACCTTAGTACACCTTGGAGCACACAAAATGGCCGTTCATGAAGCTGGATACTAGTGGTTGTCTCCAGGCTGCTCTTTGCTCTCTGCTTCCTGCTGCCCCGCTCTGACTCTGCTCTCAAAAGCGGGATTGTCATTGGACAGTCTTAAAGGTATCTCTACGAGGAATCAGTAAGCCACATCCTCTGGGTGAAAAATCTGACTCACAATCTGTCTTCATACAGCCTATGAACTAAGAAAGGGATTTTACATTTTGGGGGGAAAAATCCTGACAGAGACCTTATGTGGCTCACAAAGCCTAAAATATTTACTATTTGGTCTTTTATGGAGAAAGTGTTGCTGAGCCCTGATTTATACTGACGGCAGGAATAAAGACAGCAAATCACTGAAATTGTCACTGTATTGTTCTAAGAGTAAATTCAGGAGTCACATACTTGCCTGAACATCTGCTTATTGCAACGCTCCGTGCTAGGTTGTACTGACAGCCCAGGAAGAAAGGAGACAGTGACTCCTGTATTCTGACGAGTCTTCCTTCGGGAAAGCCCGCAGTCTCATTTGTGATATTTTCGTATCTTTGTCCCCAGACAAAACACAAAGTAAGCCAAGTGTGCATTTTCTCCGGTAGCCTTTGTTCATCACACCAAGCACATCCCATAAGTCTCTGTGAATAGCAAGGTCTGTAGTATAAATCTAGGTGCTTTGGCAGGTGGGCTTTCAAAATATCTGGGGAATTTTATGAGTCTTAACAGGCCGAGTTACACGCGGGACTTTGTATTTTCCTTAAAAATCGTAATTAAATGAAAGAAAGTGAGCAAAAAGTGGCATAATTAGTGGTTGGTCTCCATTAGAGGAGATGATCGTAAGTGATCTATTCTTTAAACATAAACACCTCGTTCTTCTGAAAGTAGCTTTTCTTAATCAGTTGAGATTGTTGGAAAAGTAATACCTTCTTAACAGCATGATTTAATTAATTACTATTTGTCTATATATTTGTTAAAGCCACAGCCTTTATAATTTCTTAAAATAACTTTTTAAAAATAAGGATATTTTTGCTCAAAATAGGATTTGAATTGTCAAAGATTGTGCATGAGCATAGGGAAGAGTAATACTTTCATTTTAAAAATATTTCTTTTAGTGCTTTAACCTTCTACATGTAGCAGCCAAGTTTAAAACCAAGGAAGCTGAATAATAAGAAGAGGGAAATGAAATTAAAGCTTATGTAGTTGTAGGTGCTACTAATCCATCATCAGATTGTGTTTAAATATTCATCTGTACATTCTTTGCAGCTTGGTTAAAAAGATGAAAACAAGTGGAATGTTTAAAACCTTGCATGAAATCTAATTATCAAGCACTAATTTCAGACTATTTTTCTTAAGTTACTAAGTAATGTTATTTATCATAATATGAGAAATACTAGCAAAAGTCTTGATCATAAAATCTATTCATTCGTGGAACAAACTTTTTTTTTTTTTTTTGAAGCACAGAGTTTCAGGAAAACAAGTATTTATTTTTAACTACTTTCTATATGTTAGCAACTAACTCAAATGTTAGTTAGAGCCATGCAATTTTTTTTCTCTACCTCTTAAGAAGTACGTTATATAATGGGAAAGAACAACGAGTTTAAAAATCACTGTAATTTTATAAGTGCTAAAATAATGATATATGTATATGGGAGCCCAGAGGAGAGGTGTCCTACTCGGCAGGAGAGGTCGAGGTGGTTTATGAATTGGAGGTGACATTTGAATTGAATTTCGAAGGATGACCAGCAGACAAAGTGAGGAAGGAGACAGGCAAATACTACAGTTTGTCTTGTAGTAGACATTGTTGTTTTACCTTTAGAGACTGTGAAGTATGAGAAATTAAAGTCCATTATATTAGAAATAACACTCTCGCATTAACTGTGACTCTTCATCTGAGACATCTTATGCTAAATAATTTTTAGAATGTCATTCTACATCTTAGTAGGCTTGGATTTCTTGCACTTTGTTTGCTAGAATGAAAACTGTGTATAGCCAAGACGGTGGATCGCATGATTCCGTGATGATTGTTTGTCAAATCTATCGGATTTATTATTATTTGAGATATCTAATTCATGATATTGGGTTATGAAACACAAAATAATACTGTTTTTTTTTGCAGTGGGATCAAGATGGTATTGCATAACAAGTCATTCATGTTTTGAATACTGTTGATATCATTTATTGTTAGGAAGAGAGAATTCTAAAGAGTCTTTAGTCAGAAGATCGAAAGTGTTAAAAGTGTTCAAAAATAGATAAAATCCTCAGTGCTTCCTCCTGGTTGGTACAGAAAGAAAAAAAATAGATAAAATCCATGATTTATTAGATACTTCTAATATGATAACATATTAGAAGTATTAAAAATAAATGGAGCCAGGTGCGGTGGCCTGTGCCTGTGTTCCCAGCTGCTCAGGGGACTGAGGCCAGAGAATTGCTTAAGCCCAGTAGTTCAAGACCAGCCTGGGCAATACAGCAAGACCCCAGCTCTAAAATAAAATAAAATAATAAATGGGGAGCTCCCTCATGTAAACTGGCTAAAAAATAATTCTTAAACACCCTTCCCCCATGCAAGTTAGACAACACATGGATAAGTAGAAAAAAGGAGATGGAATTGATTTTTAGGCAACCTGGTATATGGAGAATTGATTATTGAGTGAATTGCCTCTAGACAAATTGACCTGGAGCTTCAAATGTATATGGAAATGAAATATATCAGAATGAGAAAAGGAGGGATTATTGTACTGTTCATTTTTTCTGGCAGCTCAGTGAAGGAATGTAAATTTTCAATATACCTTTGTTTTCATTATTACAGATACTAAAGTCTATTCAGCCTTAAAGAAGTTTTGACATACCAAATAATTTTTAAAGAGTAACTATGTAAAACATAATGTCCTAATATAAATGTAACTTTAGTAAACCCTACTGTATGACACAACTTACACCTAGGAGTTGTTGGAACCTCTCACATTAGGAAAGATTCAGCTCTCGCCTTTTCTTCATTTATTCATTTATTCGAAACATTACTGAGCGCTTACTGCATGCTGTTGTGAACACGACTGACGTGGTGGCAGCGGGCAGTCGACTAGAAGTCGGAAGTGCCTGTGTTCAAATCCATTTTACTAATGTTAGTTTTACACCCTTGGACAAGTCACTTAATATCTATGAACCTTACTTACGAAAGTATTCCCTTACAATATGGTAATCAGCTAACAGTCATGAAGGTTTTTTGGAGAACTAAATAGCATCATGCAAATATTAAGGGCTTATATTATTAAGATAATAACTAAGATATATGATCATTGATTCTTAAGAAAGCATCTTTTGGTTACATGCTATGTGAATAGTTACATAAATGAATAGTATAAAACTGCTTTACAGGTAACAAAGTGCTATAATAGTTATGCACTTAGAAAATAAAACTTCCGAAAGGGAACAATACCTTTTTGTAGGAATGGAAATATTAATAGAATATTTTTAAGGGAACAGTACTAAGACAAGTTTGAGTTTTCATTTTTCTCTTTCAAAAAGGAGAAAATGAAAGGACAGTCTAGTCTCCCTAAGGAACTTAGATTAAAATAGCACATAATATACCAGATTCTAGCTTTTTAACAGTAACATGGTGTTATCAGCAGTTTTCTCAGGGTTACGATTTTTTTCTGGCAAGAATATTGGCAAATATATTCCAGATATTGATTTTCACTTGCCACTGTCGAGGAGGAGTATTTTCAGTGGAACTCAAAATTTGACTAGTATTATCCTAATCTAATTAAATGGATTTGAAAAAAAAGAAAAAAATTTCCAAATTCACCATATAATGTTTGCTTTCCACAATCCTGTTTTCCATTTTAAAAAGCAAATAGAGGCCGGGCGCAGTGGCTCACACCTGTAACCTTGCATTCTGGGAGGCCGAGGCGGGCGGATTGTTTGAGCTCAGGAGTTCGAAACCAGCCTGAGCAAGAGTGAGACCCCGTCTCTACTAAAAATAGAAAGAAATTAATTGGACAACTAAAAAAATATATAAAGAAATTAGTCGGGCATGGTGGCACATGCCTGTAGTCCCAGCTACTCAGGAGGCTGATGCAGAAGGATCGCTTGAGCCCAGGCGTTTGAGGTTGCTGTGAGCTAGGCTGACGCCACGGCACTCACTCTAGCCCGGGCAACACAGTGAGACTCTGTCGCAAAAAAAAAAAAAAAAAAGTTTCAGAATAGCTCATGTAAAAATACTACATGTAAAAACACTGCATTTAAAGTTTGTTTGATGTGTTTTGCTTACTTCTCTTTGTTCAAATTCTCTGTTGCTCTGAGAAACAGTGATGGGTTAATACACAGATCTGCTTAACCAGGAAGAGGGTTTCTTTACCCTTCACGCTTCCTCTTGGAGGCCCCAGTGCACTGAAAGAACTGTGGGTGTGGTAGGTTTTCACAGGAGTGTAGAGAATCCGGCAAACAGGAAAATGAGAATATATAATAGTAAACCTATAGGGACTGAAATATTTGTCAATGTAGAATTTAATGTACTCTGTACCTGCAGGTTACGTTTTAAAGTAAAAATAGACCATGACTAAAGGAAAAATAAACACTTTATTTCTGATTCTAGTTTGTATCAGACTTATTTCTGAACTAGCCTAGAAGGAAATGATAGATTCCTAGTGATTTAATAGAAAAAAGATTACTTAGTGTATCTTTCTGTTCATTTTCCTAAATTAGATGCTCTTATTTATTCTTAAGCTTTAACTTTTGATATTATATATTTAGTTTTTGATGTATGCTTTTTCCTTCCAGAAGCCACCAGCGTCCAACAGAAGGTCAACTTCTCTGAAGGAGGTATTCTCTTCGTAATGCAATATATTCTAAATCTTTTTCTTTACGTCAGGAGCCATTTCGATAGGTACAAAAGAGATAAGAGCAGAAAATTGTGTTTCTTCAGGAAAAAAAATTATTGTTTATCTGAACCGTTAAGTGGGCAGGTAAAATAGGGTGAAATGAGTGATCAACGAGCCTTTATGTATATTTTAAGCATCTTTTGTCTATTTGAGTTCATTTTAAGCACAGCTAATATGTTCCGTTTCTGGCATGTGCTGGCCTTTGATTACGGTATTAAAATAATCACTTTTCGAAATTCTCAGAACCAGTCTATGTTTGAAAAGTACAGGAGTAAAATTTAGTTCATCTTTAAGCCTAGCATAATCCGAGATTAGCCGCCTGCGTAATGAGATGTTTGCGTGTGGGTGTGTGTGCACGACCCTTCCACCACGGACACACGGCCAGACCACGCTAACACATACGCTAATCTTGTCTGAGTTTAACTGCACACTAGCTCTATATAGTTTTTCACCACATACACTAAAATTTTTCCATTATTTAATACTTATCTCTTCATTTTTGACTCTACATTAAAGCCTCAGAGTGTAGTCTTTTAGATATGACTCTGAATATTTGTTTAGGAAAGAATTACGTGGCTCAGAGAACACAAAATAAATGAGCTCAATTTTGGCTCACTTAGAACTTTGGGATTCAAAATAGTAAGCATAATAAATAAATAGCAATTCTATATCTTTTAATTTAAAAGCCTTCATTTCATGTTAAATTATATTTTTTTAATTCAGATCTTTTGAGCATTAGAACAAAGGCTATACTTGTATATTGTTTACTTCTCTTCAGGAGAAACTGAGGAAGATGATCAAGACAGCTCTGACAGTGATGTCGCTACTCTTAAGGTCAGATCCAGGGATTCCGATGAGTCTGGAGGTAAGATTGCTTATGTACATAGGACGCTTCTCACAGGAGCTATCTTTTTAGTTAAAATATAAAAGTATTCTGTGAATTTGCTTTTTAAAAAGTACTTTAAAATTTTTTTATTGAAAACAAATAACTCGGCCAGGCCCGGTGGCTCACGCCTGTAACCCTAGCACTCTGGGAGGCCGAGGCGGGAGGATCGCTGGAGGTCAGGAGTTTGAGACCAGCCTGAGCAAGAGCAACACCCCGTCTCTACTAAAAAATAGAAAGAAATGATCTGGACAACTAAAAAAATATATATATATATAAATTAGCCAGGCATGATGGCACATGCCTGTAGTCCCAGCTACTTGGGAGCCCGAGGTTGCTGTGAGCTGGGCTGATGCCACGGCACTCTAGCCCAGGCAACAGAGCAAGACTGTGTCTCAAAAAAAAAAAAAGCTCTAAAAATTAGAGACTAATTAAGTCATTCATATAGCCAATAGTTTGCTGCCATTGCTACCAGCATATAGCTGTTTGGAACTACATAAACTCTAGGTCCTGTGATCCCTTCAGAATTCTTAAAAGTTCTTTGTGTGATCTTATTGAAGCATACCCACATGCAGAAGAAAACTCTAGCTAAAGAACAAAATATTGAGACATATTAAGAGTACTGGTCTTCCTAGGTTATCTTCTGGGCCAGTCATCACCTAAGAGGTACAAAAAGATCCACTGGAGTGCAGGAAGAAAATAATAGAATTTTATATACATTTATTTTTTATCTCTATCTGTAGAGACAGAATCTCACTCTGTCACCCAGGCTGGAGTGCAGTGGCACGATCATAGCTCACTGTGGCCTCAAGATCCTGGGCCCAAGTGATCCTCCCAACTCAGCCTCCCAAGTAGCTAGGACTACAAGTGCATGCCACCATGCTTGTCTAATTTTTTTTTTTTATAGAGACAGGGTCTTGCTATGTTGCCTAGCTTGGTCTTAATAAATGTATTATTTCAGTAGTGCATGTATATAATGTAAGAAAGAAAAAATGTTTCAGGGATTGATGCTCAAAATTTTTTTAGTGATAGAAGTATACTATTAAAAATATTTAGCTACTATACCTTTATGCATCAAATGCTTCTGTTTCCAAAATAGCAAGTTGATCACTTGTAAACAAATCTATTTATAAATTCTACTTTTTAGGGAGAAAAAATTTTTAAGAAAAGCAAACTAAAATACATAATGTATTGCCCACTTGCAGGAAAAATTTAAGGCAAAACGGGTATTAATGATTTCAAGAAGATCCATCGCTGTAAGCTTTTCAAAATTTTCCCCAAACTCAAAAGATTTCATTATTTCCTTACCTCATGCCATGTTCCATATCTTACAATTTTTTTCTTTAAAAAGTGGCTAGGGAAAAGACATAATTAATTAGTTAATTTTTTAGAGATGATAGGACTCTTTAGAAACTATGTGTTTTAAATAAATTGTGCACCCAAGTGTTGAATTCTCTGCAGTTTATCTGAATATTTTTGCTCTTTCAAGTAAATACTTATTGTTCTCTTATACAATGTAAATTTAAAAGTTAAATGTGATTTATAATATAGTTTTTTGGTTTTTTTTTTTTATTTTTTAGATCAAACCACCAGATCATCTGGCCGATATCAAGAATCGTTTTGGCAGTCATCACAAAGTAAGTAAAGCCATGTTTACAGGTATACCTGTGGGCCTGGTCAAATACTATTCTTTATTTTTGAAGATCTTCTTTTCCAGTTTAATATAAATATTGAAAAAGAGTTGTAATGAATACTAAAAAAACTTACCAATATCTTTCTATGTCTTGAATTCACTTCTTGAGTTATTCTTCTCTATACCCAAACCTGAATTTGAATTTAAAACACACAAAAAAAACCACTACTGCTTTCTGTGACTTGTTGAATGACCTTGCTTACAATATAAATGGGTTAATTGTTTTTAGTTTAATTGACCGATACAGTAGTTTGAGCCTACTTATGTGGACATATTCTAATAAGGACATAAAATTTTATATATAGTATGGTTTCGACTCTGTTGCAAAAGTTTGGAAGGATGAATAAATAAGTGATAAAGCACATATAGTAAAAAGTTAATGGTAATCCAGGTGGTGGGTATATGAGTATTCATTATAAAAGTCTTACAACTTTGAAAATTTTCACGATCAAATGTGAAAATAGAACAAAAGATTGGAAAGTAATACACTAAATGCTGAGAATGATTTGCACAGGATGATAGAATCATTGGCGACATTTTTCTTTTACTTTATTATTTTCCGTATTACTATTTTTTCTTTTTCCATTTTTAAATCAAGTCGCTCAGAATTTGAGTTAATTATTAATCAACTGAAAATATCTTATATATAAAATATTCAAGAAAATTTTTTTTCTTCCATATCATTTTTTTTCTTGAGACAGAGTCTCACTCTGTTGGCTGGGCTAGAGTGCTGTGGTGTCAGCCTAGCTCACAGCAACCTGAAACTCGTGGGCTCAAGGCGTCCTCCTGCCTCAGCCTCCCGAGTAGCTGGAACTACAGGCTCATGCCACCACACCCAGCTAATTTTTTCTATTTTTCTTAGAGATGGGATCTCATTCTTGCTTAGGCCTCACTACTTTTAGATATGTAATTTCAGGAAAATTATTAATTTCAATTTTCCCTTATTTTTAAAATAGGGATAATAGGATTTTCCACATAAATTATGAGAATTAAGTAAATTATACTTGATAGCTGGTAACCATTGGATACTTTTTTAGCCATTATTTTGATGGTAATGATCGTAAAGCTGACTCCTTTTCTAATTCCTGAACATTTTTAAGTTTAAAATGAAAAAAAAATATATATATATATATGTGGAGAGAGAGAGAATGTTTTGAACTGACAAGAGGTTTGTGTTTTTTGGTTGTTCTGAACCAGATCGACAATGAACAAGCAAAATGTCTATACATCTTTTTTGTTTTATTTTCAAGTAGTCTATAACCTTATCCCTGTTTTCTGTTTCAGGTCAAGACTTCAGAGCTCATAATAAGCAACCTTCAGTGCTGAGTGAGTGGTTGGTTGTCTGCTCGTTATTCGATTAATCAAATCTAATCTTACTTTATTCTCCCAACTTAAAGTTCTGATAGGATTTTAAGTCATTTTACTCTTTGCCTTTTTAGTCCACCACGCATCAGTACTACGTGTGGTAACTACTCTGTGATGGGGAAATGTGTTCAGGGCTATTTTACCACAAGTAATTTACTTGCAAGAGTAAATAGTTAGGTCGGGCACAGTGGCTTGTGCCTATATTCCCAGCTACTCAGGAGGCTAAGGTGGGAGTATCACTTAAGGCCAGGAGTTTGAGACCAGCATGGGCAACACAGTGAGATCTCCTCTGTAAGCCATTTTAAAAGTTAGCTGAGTGTGGTGGCGCTCACCTGTAGCCCCAGCTACTCAGGAGGCTGAGGCAGGAGGATCGCTTGAGCCCAGGAGTTTAGGGCTGCAGGGAGCTATGATCAGGTCACTATACTCCAGCCTGGGCGACAGAGGGAAACCCCATCTCTAAATAAACAAACAGATAAATATACATATACAGAGAGAAAGACAGTAAATGGCTAACTTTTCTTCTTAAATAACATTAAAATCTAATGAAGTGTTTTTGAACTCAGTCATTCTCATACACCAGAGCAGAGGACTTGGGTGTAGTCTGTCTGTTAGGTGACATTATACTTGTTGGCCACCTGCTTTGCTGCGGGAAATGGTTCATCCTCACTGATAACGATCCTTTGAAATTATGTTTTACTTCTGTAACTATTGCTTTTATTATTTTCCTCCCCTACTTTATTTTGCCTTTCTGGTAGAGTTATTGTATAACACTGGAATGTGGTATATACACTTTCAAAGTATGGGAAATGATATTTCGATGTATGTGTTTGCTTCAGCCTCAGGATATCAAAAGCCCTCTCAAGTATGGGCCCAACAGACTGCAAGAATAAGGAGTAGGATGCAGAGTAAGTAGACAAATCTCTGTTACCAAGATAATTTTATTTGCTGTGTTTTTCTTGATAAAAATATTTAGGGCCAGGTGCAGTGGCTCACGCCTGTAATCCGAGCACTCTGGGAGGCCGAGGCGGGCGGATTGTTTGAGCTCAGGAGTTCGAGACCAGCCTGAGCAAGAGTGAGACCCCGTCTCTACTAAAATTAGAAAGAAATTAATTGGACAACTAAAAATATATAGAAAAAATTAGCCGGGCATGGTGGCGCATGCCTGTAGTCCCAGCTACTCGGGAGGCTGAGGCAGGAGGATCGCTTGAGCCCAGGAGTTTGAGGTTGCTGTGAGCTAGGCTGACGCCACGGCAGTCACTCTAGCCCGGGCAACAGAGTGAGACTCTGTCTCAAAAAAAAAAAAAAAAAATTTAGTTCTTCAGATAAGCATTTAGGTTGTCTGTGATTTCACCAAAAAGAACAGCTTTTTCCCTAGGCAGGCAGGTTCCGGTTCAGGTTTCTGTGACTGCATCCTAAGCTTTTGGGAAAGATGGAAGCACTGTCTTTACTTTTTCCCATGTGCCAGGTGATAAAACAGCGAGACTAGGGAAGAATATGTATGTACGAAGAGGTCAGACCATTAATATACACGCTTTGGAATCGGTCTCGGAAGTTGGTGTAGAGAAAAGAAGACGAGTTTGGTGTTAGAGCGCCTGGGTTCCAGTCCTATCTCTGGTAGTTACAAATCGAGTGATCTTGGCAAAGTCATTTAACCTTTGTGAACCTCAGTTTTCTCGCCTTTAGAGATTACAGCGCCTATACCTGTGTAATTGTAATCAGCTTCTATGTGTAAATATAATTTTTTAAAGTCTAAATATCATAGAATTATTAATGCTTATTTATTGTTAATAGACTGTGTAATAGGGATTCATGCCCTCCACTCTTGACTTTTATAGAGTGATTGTTACCATAGTCTTCAAACTGAAAAAGCTCGAGCTTTATCTTTTAACAAGATTTTTTTCAGAGTTTTTGTTACCGTCTGTAATAATTTTAATAAGAGGGATAGAAATTACCTTTTAGACAGTGTCCTGCTTCAGCTGTGCATACCCTGCTGAGTGTGTGTTTGTGTTCTATGCATTATATAAATATTACATACGTTACATAATTAGTATTTAGCTATCCTTCATTATTAACATCATAGAATAGCACTTCACAGCATTTTCATATATATTATCTCACTTGGTCTTTGCAACCATAGAGGGAGATGTTCAGGATAAACATTATCTGATGGGTTTGGGGTTTTTTATTCGGTTGAGTTTTTTTGTTTTGTTTTGTTTTGTTCGTTGTAACTTTGATGACCTAACTTAGAAACTTTTAAATAACTAAATTTTCTAAGCTAAACTAGCAATTGAAAAACAATAGCTTCTTAGAGTTACAGTTGATGTCATTTTGTCTTATTTGGGGTTTTTTGTCATGTGACCAAAAAGGCTATTTCTGTATTAGCAGTGCTGATTTTATTCCTCTAGTTTAGTCCAGTGTTTCTCAAACGACAGCTGTTGACAAAATGCCAGGAAGATCCCCCAGGAAGATCGTTTGTATATATTAACATGAAAGTTACAGAGCTCTAGGCAAGTGGTAGGTGGCGATGCTGGTCCATACAGGGCCTGTGACCGAGACACCTCAGCCGCCTGCCTTCAGAACCTCGTCCCGCCGCTCCCTCTCTCAGATGTGAAATCTGCTAAAAACAGATGGAGGAGAAAAGGGAAGCATTAGGATACTTTTTAATTTATTTTGTAAAATAATGATGGAAGTGGAGATTTGATGGAGTTCTGATAAAATTATTTTTGAGCTCCATTTAACCACAGATCTGAAACAGAATTACTTAATTGTCTATTAACAGAAGTGATGAAAAGTTTTTTAATGTGATTTTAAAAATATTACTAATATTTGAAATGGTCAGAAGCCCCAGAGGAAATATTTGAATCAGTCGGAGGTAGAAAATAGCTAGGATTAAGATTGAATTTTATATCGAAACACCTTATCCTGATAGCTCAGTAATCCATAATCCACATTTTGTCCTTTCCCTCGTTACAGCACCTTCACCAGGCAAGAGTTCAGTGTGTGGCAGTTTTTCAGATGGTATAACGTATTTCCTTTTGTTACGGTGTACTGTTTTCTCTGTCCTCTTAACTGTGTTACAGAAGTTTCACCAATCCTATTACCTAATTCTGGGTCAGATACTTCAGGGCTCTCTGGGATAACAGCATAGTAAGTGTTTGCTTTGTCCTGACCACTTCATGCTGCGGTAACTACGAAAGACACAGGTCTTGTGTCTTCAGGAGCTTTCGGTCTGATGGGCCCTCAGATAGTCTGCTTTTTCTTCTGCTTCTGCCTGATCTCTGCCTTCTTTTTTTCTTGGTGGAATTTATATCTTCTTTCTCTATTAGAAATAAAAACTCAAAGTATAAAATATAAGACAACAGTCTTCTTTTATTACTCCTATCCTTAGATGACAGCATTCAGAAATCAGAGCCTGGAAACCAGTCTCCATCAACCTCCAGCCAACGTAAGTTTGTCTATTTGGTTTTTGTTACATGTGTCTCTAAAATTGGTGGTCCATAATTGTTTAAAAATGTTTTTTGACAGCAGTATGACTGATGCTATTTGAAGAATCATAGTTGAAGCATTTCATAGGAAATACTATATATTTTATTAGCAGTGAAATTCTCTATGGACAAACTATGTGATGTAACATCTGATTTTCTCCTTCGCTTTATTGTCCATAGACCAAAATAAGAGTCAATAAATAAAGCTACTGATACTGTTAACTGAGTGAACCATGCTGAACTAGAAGAAAGACAGCACATAGAATGACATAATGGGATTATTATGGGTGTGGAGTTCACAGACCTGTATTTAAACTAGATTGGACCACTTAGCTCCTATATAGCCTTGGAGCAAGTTTCTTAAATTCTCTATGCCTGTTTATTGGCCTGAATGAGTACTAAGAAAACAGACTACCAGTGAGTCTCAAACATGTTGGTCTCAGTAACCCTTTACACTAGTAAAGTTATTAAAAACCTCAAAGAGCGTTTAAAAAAACAAAAAATACGGGGCCGGGCACGGTGGCTGATGCTTATCATCCTAGCACTTTGGGAGGCCACGGCAGGAGGGTCATTTGAGCCCAGGAGTTTGAGACTGTCCTGGGTAACATGGCAAGACCCCATCTCTACAAAAAATTTTAAAAATTAGCCAGGCATGGTGGCGTGCACCTGTAGTCCCAGCTACTCGGGAGGTTGAGACAGGAGGACTGCTTGAGCCCAAGAGTTTGAGGCTGCAGCCAGCTGTGATCACACTCCAGCCTGGGTGACAGAGTGAGAACTCTGTCTCTTAAGGAAAAAGGGGGGGAGGTTTAATATCTCTTTATACTTACCTAGAAAGTAAAGTTGAGAAATTTTTTAAATATTAATTTATTTTTAAGTAATTAGTAAGAAGAGTGACAGTTTTGCATTTTTTTTCTAATTTCTTTAATGCCTGGCTTAAAACGGAATTGGTTTTTCACATCTGCTTCTGCGTTCAGTCATTACAATATATTGTTTGTTTGTTTGAGACAGGGTCTCAGCCTATTGCTCTATTGCCAGTGGTGGAAGACAGTGGCGTCATCATAGCTCACAGCAACCTCAAACGCCTGGGCTCAAGTGATCCTCCTGCCTCAGCCTCCCAAGTTGTTGGGACCATGGGTGTGTGCCACCACGCCCAGCTAATGTTTCACTGTGTTGCTAAGACTGGTGTCAAACTCCTGGCCTCAAGCAATCATTCTGCCTCAGCCTCCCAAAGTGCTAGAATTACAGGTGTGAGCCACAGCATCTGGCCTATATTGTTTGCTTTGGTTGAAGTATCTGTAGAAAATCCAGTTTCATAAAGATATGAAGAATTTTAATAGCCTTTTCAGATAATTATGTGAGGTCGGATATTCTTTTTTGGTATTCTCCAAAACTCAACAAATGGTAGTTTCTTAAATGTTATTCGAAATACTAAATAGAAACCATATTAATGAACTTTTTGTACCCTCTTAAAAATCAATTGGTTTTTCTTACACTTCGAATGGAGTATCATGGACTGGTCATTTTGAAAATACTGGTTCAGTAAGATATGCAGATCTTCCAAGTGCTGACACACTTGTAATAGGAAAGATCAAAGTTGTTAATATCACTATCAATCTCCAAGACTATTTTTTTTGAGACAGAGTCTTGCTCAGCCGGCCCGGGCTAAGTTGCAGTGCCGTCATCATAGCTCTCTACAGCCTCAAACTCCTGCCTCAGCCTCAGCTGGGACTACAGGCTCGCGCCACTGTGCCCAGCTAATTTTTCTATTTTTAGTCAAGAGGGGGTCTCACTCTTGCTCAGGCTGGTCTTGGAACTCCCGAGCTCAAGTGATCCTCCCGCCTCGGCCTCCCAGAGTGCTGGGATTACAGGCATCAGCCCCCACGCCCGGCCTTAAGATTTTTAAAAAGTCTTTAAGTACAGTATTGGGAGCTGTCAAGCTTTGGTGGCAGATAGAATTTTACTAAAATCCTAATTTTCACTTGAAAGCTTAAATTTTATAATTGATGAATACCATCAGTTGTTTTCCTAGAACAGGCTCGCTTTGTTCATTTTCAAGAAAATGTCTCAGATACACAAGTCTGACTAGCCATAGTTTGTTACTTGTTCTTTCACGTAAAAAATGATACTCCATTAAAAAGTACTAATCGGCTTATACCTAGGTGCACAAAATTCTTTTCCTTGGGACAACCATTGTTCTGTGCTATGCAGTAGAAGGGCTTTATGTATACTCCCCATTTCTTCACACGGAATATGGAGAAGATACATACTCAAATATTGAGACTTAATAAGATATGTAACTTGAACTGCTTCATGAACAACATTCTTAAGTGAAACCGGCCCCTGTTTTTTTAACCTTGCACACATGGCCGTGAAAAATGCAACGGCTACACTGGCGCTGTTTGCGGCCCCTGCCCTGTGAGTCACGCGAAATCATCATTAAGTTTCCCACCATTGCCTCTGCACCGTCAGTGCACACGTCAGCACGATGGGAAAAGTCAAATTATGAGAATAGCTTTAACCTCATGGGCCCCCCTAAAATAGGATCTTAAGGTACCCCCCCAGACCACACTTTGAGAACTGCTGCTCTAAAAATGTCCCTAGTACAATTATTAGCCTAAAGCAGTCAATAAATAAATAAAAGCCATAAAAGTATATTGTTACTATCATATTAACTGATTAAGTGAAGTAGAATATGAGAAAGTGCTTTAGAAACTGAAAAGCACTAAATCAATGTAAATTGATGTTATTATTGCCAATAATAATTAGGGATACAAAGTAAATTTTACCAGTGTTACCTTCCATACCAGAAAAAGATGGGCCTCGGTGCAGGTGATTTAAAGGGACAACTTGCTGTTACAGCATCTGGAAGATTGTGCACTTACTTTGCATCCTTTCCTTTAACCCTTTATATACTTCAGAAATATTTCACCTTGGCCCGGCATGGTGGCTCATGCCTGTAATCGCAGCACTTTGTGAGGTCAGGCATTCGAGACCAACTTTGGCAACATAGCAATACCCCATCTCTACAAATATCAGAAAAATTTGCCGGGCATGGTGGCGCACACCTGTAGTCCCAGCTACTCAGGAGGCTGAGGCAGGAGGATCTCCTGAGCCCAGGAGTACAGTGAGCTGTGATGGCAGCACAGCGCTCCGGCCTGGGCAGCAGAGCAAGACCCTGCCTTAAAAAAAGAAAAAGAAAAAGGAAATATTCCACCTTGGGTAATTAGCCATGTGAAATATGAACTGCTGAATTTCTAAATTTAAAAATATTTTATAAAGTGTCTTTTAATTCTATTTTTGTCCCAACTATTAGCAGTATTATTAATAATAGTTTTGCTTTATAAACTATTATCTCCGACCTGTTTATGCCATTTCGTATGTTTAAGTGCTACTTTTTCCTTGAAGACTTATATTTACATTGGAGAGATATATGCATATGTATACATGTAACTCAAAGCCTGTGGGTATTGAGATTTCCTTGAGAACATGATAAATTATTTTAATTCTTTAAGAAGGAAAATTACCAGTTCCCTTCTTTAAAGACTTTCCTCTTTTAATTAATGTTTATAAAAATTAATACAGATTTTAAAAGTCATTCATTCTTGAATCTAAGAAAATGGTATTTATATCTGTCATTTCTTTTTTTCTGAGCAGAATTGACTAGACAACCCAAAAATGTATCTTTTGTCAAGATCAAGTGGTGGTGGCTGCTTTTCCTAATAGCTCCTCTTGCCTTTGGGAGTCTTTGGTTCTTTCGTACTCCTGACGTAGAAGCCTCCGCTGCTGTTCAAGAGTTCCAGAACCAGATGAACCAACTTAGGAATAAGTACCAAGGCCAAGATGAGAAGCTGTGGAAAAGGAGCCTCACGTTCCTGGAAAAACATCTTAATAGCTCCCACCCCCGGCCTCAGCCTGCCATCTTGCTGCTCACTGCTGCCCGAGACGCTGAGGAAGCACTTAAATGTCTGAGTGAACAAATCGCTGACGCTTATTCTTCCTTCCGTAGCGTCCGTGCCATCCGGATTGACGGGGCGAGCAAAGCTGCTCAGGACAGTGACACTGTCAAACTCGAGGTGGATCAGGAACTGAGCAGCGGATTCACAAATGGCCAGAACGCAGCCGTGGTGCACCGCTTTGAGTCGCTGCCCGCAGGCTCTGCTCTGATCTTCTATAAATACTGCGACCACGAAAATGCAGCCTTCAAAGATGTAGCTCTAGTACTGACTGTCTTGTTGGAGGAGGAGACACTCGGAACCAGTCTAGGCCTAAAGGAAATTGAAGAAAAAGTGAGAGATTTCCTCAAAGCCAAGTTCACCAGCTCTAACACACCCGACTCCTACGATCACATGGACCCAGACAAACTGAACGGGCTCTGGAGCCGCATTTCTCACCTGGTCCTGCCCGTGCAACCCGAAAATGCCCTGAGAAGGGGCATCTGCCTATAAGGGGTGAGAAAAGAGAAAATCGTGTCTCAAGTTCTGAGAATGTTTCAGACTTCCTAACCAGAGACAGGATTCAGAGCTCTTTTTGAGAGAACTGGTTTCCTTTTAAAGGAAGTTAAGTTCTTTCTGTAAACGTGGAACATCTAAGTCGTTTATCCAACCTAATTATCTATGATATGAGAGAATCATTTCTGTTTCCACTGAGAGCTGTCGAGGAGGGTATCCTAGGGGCGTAAATTATATGCAGTTCCATAGAGAATCTGTTTTGATCCTGGGCTGAATTATCGTTGCTGTGTTGTAACCAGTGAGAGGGATTCAGCTCCTTTCTTGTGAATCTTCCCAATTTTTTAACTTCGATTTTTCACAAAGTTTTTGGAGTTATTAGTAAGATAGCTTCCCTAAAAGTAACCGCGGATTTTCCCATTATGTTCCCTTTTACGCCATTTAGTTGTGAGTTCCTTAGTCAGCTTCTGCTTGTGGGAACAAAGGTAATGAAAGGTCATCTGGGTGTGTGTTTGGATTCATCTTCTTTTGTTTTTGGAGGGTGGCAAGAAGCAGGCAAGGGAAAAGAGAGAAATTGTGTAATAGGGAAGGTAAGGGGAGGAACAAAGTCTGCAAGATGAAATGTTACAATGAGGCACTGAGACGTAGGTTACTCAAACATAGGTATTTGGGATTTGTTTTTTACATTTCCTTTTTTTTTTTTTCCTTGAAGAAATTCTTGGTCCTCCCAAGGATTTTTAAAGCATGTGTATCACAAGGTTTAATATATTTGTTTACTTGACTCTTGAGGGTAGGTAAATTCAGAGCAGTTTATTTTGGACATATCCTGAAGCTTTTGTTTTAAATTAAGAAACACAGTTTCAGGAGTTGGTAAACCATTTTTTAACCAGCTATCCTGGGCTTTTGAAGAAAGATTTAATTTTCTGCGCATCCACTTGTTGCCGTCTTTAGAACACTCCATGTAAAAATTTACTATGCACGCGATAAATTTTATTGAGTGCCTGAAGCCAAGATAGTGAACTTTATCACACATGAAGAATGTTAGATGCATTTCTGTGCTACCGTAGTATTTCAGCTGTAACCTCGCATCTATAGCTGAGCTTTCTCATCTGTCAACTGCTTTGGTTTTCTTAAAATCTTATGATTCTGGATCAACCTTGTTTTTTTTATTTTCCATAAACCTTTAAATGAAAATGTTGTTTTTAGAATCAGTCATTGGCTTCATCATTTACCCTTTGAAGGTGTCACTACTGATAATAGAGAGGGATATGATTTTTCCCCTAGGTGTCATAAACTTATACCCCTTATTGTAATTTGTTCCTGACTCTGAAAAGTCAGATCATCTGATTTATAGAGGATTATAAAACAGCAGTTTTTAAAAGGCTTATTTTATACATACATGTTATATGGAGAAACAAATATTTTTATTAAATATTTCACTGACCGAATAATTTAAAAGTTATATGTTACTTGTATCTTTCAGGAAAAAATAATTGAAGCAGCTGATCTGTAAATGACTTTAAAAACTATTTTAGTAGTCTAAATAAATTTACTTTCTTGGTTTGTACTCTGTGTTATAAACTTGATGACTTATAAACTTTTTTTTTTAAGTTAATCAAAGTGTTTTCTTTACACTTGAACAATTATAGTGACTTTGGAGAAACGAGGCCAAAGAATTGGAGCCATTCACAAGTATGTTGGTTTAGAAATGGAATAGCCATGATTTTGTTTTATCCAGAGATTTTGAATTATTAAAATGTAGTTAATTTAGCTATTGCTCACTTGGCAAAAGAATCTCACACAGATTTTCCTAAACTTCTCTTTAACCTCCCTAAAGAGCCTTTTTAGATGTTTTTTTCTAAACATCCCTTCCCCATGAAATTTTCATACCACACATACGTTTATGGACTGTATATATTTTTGTGCTTCATACAAAATATATTTTTTGTCGCCAATAAACCAGTTTTCACCCCCAGTGGGAATGCATGCTCAAGAGAATCCATATTTTTATTTTGATTTACTTATTTAGAGACAGGGTCTCGCTCTGCCACCCAGGCTAGAGTGCCGCAGCGCAATCAGCTCACTGCAGCCGCAAACTCCTGCGCTCCGGCGATCCTCCACCGCAGACTCCCAAGTAGCTGGGAGTAGAGGTGTTTTATTAACACAAAACCCAGCAGTATGAGGTGGGAATTTCCTAGGAGGGTGACTTAGAGGCTGGAAAAATTCATCACAAGCGTCACAAGACAACCAATAATGCCCCTGACGAAGGGAAACCTCTATAAACCGCTAGCTGAAGCCAGCCTGTGTCCTCTTGTTCAAAGCCGGTCATGTCCACACCCAAACCAGCGGGGGAAGAGGGAACAGTCATTCCAGAGGGCTCAAATGACTCGTGAATCTTCCGGATAATGGGAGAGAGCACAGCCTCGCCTGAGCATTTTGAAGTGACTAAGGGGATGCCCACTGGCCAGGTGCCTCCTCGTACGGTCTCATCCATCCCGTATCTCCCGTCACGGCATCGGCACGCTTCCCTTGCCGCGTGCCCCTGGAGAAGCATACGTGTTGTCAGGGCGTGCACAGTGGTAGTCACAACGAGTGTTCAGGTATTTGTTGAATAAGAAGAGCAAGCCCTACCTATTAGGTAGGCTGCACCTTGCTCAGTGTTTTATTTGCTTTTTTTTCTGTTACGCCTGAGCCCTTTCTAAAAGCTCTATGTAACTATTTCACCTGGATTCAGCAGTGCTAGGAATAAAGAAAAACGAGGACCAATCCAAGTGCCAGAAACTGGCACTTCTCCGGCAGAGACAGTGATCATTAGTGAGCGGTCCCCAAGGGGAAAGTGAACATCAAGGGAAAAGATGGGGAAAGCTTGAGGTCTTTTCAGTGATATTCGGCATTTGTATTTTCTTAAAACAATTAGCAAGTTTCCTTACATCTTTTTATATTTTATAATCCAGATAAGAGATGGCTGTGAGTGTGGAGAGAAGACGGATAAGAAAAATATTTGAGAAGTACAATTGAGAAGATTTGTTGACTTTATAAGTTGACATTTTGCAGTTTGAAGTAGAAATAGTCACATGTATTTAGTGAGGAATTGATTAAATAAAAACCCTGTCCAACCAGGAAATGAGAAAAGGAGGGCTGAGGTGAGGATTAGAAGAACATACATCTCAGACTCCACGACAAAGGAATATGCGAACTGAGAAGCCTGGTTTTGGGTGGAGACCTCAGCAGCCATTCCCTCTGCCTCGACCCGTCGGTCACTTCCCCTCTGTGACTTCAGTAGCAAGAAGGTGAATTTGATGGCTCAATCCAGGATGCCTGAGAAGGGTATATGATCAAACATGGCTGTCTGGTTCACCCCTTTAACAGGGACCATGGGGCAGGGATGGGATAGGGTAGTTTCCTGAGATCCGGCCAGGGAGTGGGCAGGTACGGTTCAGGAATGACTAAATACTTCTTCAAATATACAATATCTTTTTATATAGAACGTGATGTATGATTAATTCATTTTGGCTTTTTTGGAAAAGAAATTAAAAGTAATGGAAACATTTTTTATCTCAAATGCTGAAATCAATATGGTATTTGGAAACATTTTAAGTTTTAAAATCTGGGTCTTGGTCATGGGTCTACTACAAATGTGATTTCTTCCCATTATTTCTGTTTCCTCTATGCCGAAAAAGAGGGAGACAGTTATCAAGACATCAGGTACTATTTTAATATACATCAGCTATTATTATCAATTTGTTTTAAGTCCCTCAATAGAACATGGAGCTTTCTTTGGTTTTCATGCTGTTTCTTGGGCACGTGAGGTGGTAGGTGACTGTGTACCTGATTCAAACTTGATTTTTAGGGCTTGTTTTCCCACTTTGAGAGAATACTATTCTTGGACTAAACTCAATAGCAGAATCTACTCCATTCTACACAGCACTGCATAGAGGACATTCACCATAGTAGTTATTTGCATTTCTGAATGGACAAATCTTTTATCTACTCTCAATTTCTCATAGTTTAAATTGACTTCCTCTTATTTTGCCTACAACAAAGATGGAAAAGATCTGTATGAAGGTCTTTTTATATGTATTAAGTTGTCCCTCAACCTTTTATATTTTTTGCCAGCTATTGTTTATTAATGCTCCAAACACTGTTCTAAGTGATTCACATGTATTAGCTCATTTAATTCTCACAGCAACCCTGTGAGGCGGTGCTATTGTATTTTCCCAATTTAATAGATGGGAAACCGAAGCAGACAGGTCAAGTGACACTCAGAATGGTGGAGCAGAGATTTGAACCCAGGCAGTCTGGCTGGGGAACATCTGTTCTCACCACGGAGATGTTCTCTAGAACCCCATTCTAAATACAGAAACAAACAAACTCGGTGTCTCCTACTGTACACTCACAACCCCCTCCTCACAGCAGATCTGCGGACGTGTTTCCCCACACAGCAGGCAAGCAGTTCTGCAGGAGACGCCAGCTGGGTGTCCTCCGATTCATTCTGACACTGCAGATGGCATCAGCTCCCGCAGGTTGAGAGTTCAGCCCCACGAGTCTGCCCCCACCGCGCACACTCCTGATGCCGATTGCAAGCCCCAGGTGGTTTCACCTGCACTTCTGACCAACTGGTTATAAATCGGGGTTCCCGTGGCCCCTTCCTCGGATCTGATTAATTTGCTCAAGCAGCTCACCGAACTCGGGCAAACACTACACGGTCATTCCCTGCTTGATGACGCTTCATTGTTGGACCGCATCTGTAACTGTGGTCCCGAAAGATTATAATATATTTTTACTGTACCTTTTCTAAGTTTAGATATGTTTAGATACACAAATACAGTTGACCTTGAACAACACAAGTGTGAACTGTGTGGGTCTCCTTATACTCGGATTTTTTTCCGTAAGTATATTGGAAAATTTTCTGGAGATTTGCAACAATCTAAAAACAACTTGGGCGGGGGGACCAAGGGCAACATACGTAACCTAAACATCTGTACCCCCACAATATGCTCAAATAAAAGTAAAAGAAAAAAAAATCTGAAAAACAGATTAAATTCATAGACTAGAAATATCGAAAAAAAATTAAGAAAAAGGTATGTCATGAATGCATAAAATATATGTAGATACTAGTCTATTTTGTCATTCACTATCATAAAATATACACAAACCTTTTA